GGGAGGTCGATAACCCCGCAGGACTACAATGGCGCACAGCGCCGCATGAAGGAGATGTGGGCCCCCACTGCCCGAGCCCGGGACGCCACTTTCTATGCGCTCCGGTTTCTTTCCAACGTCATGGTCGCAGGGGACCACAGTTTGAATCCCAACACCCCATCTAGTGCTGGTTTCTCCTACTCGGCGCGCGATGATTACCTTCTCAATCGGCCATGGGTGCTGTACTTTGCCACGTTAATTGTTTGGTCGTACGGATTCGCGCTTGATGGCCCAGTCAAGGAGCCGTACCAACTTCCAAGCTATGACGACAAAGTCAGGGATATGGTACTCTACCTCAACCGTGTGGGCGGTGTTAGATCGCCAGAGGACTTGAGCAAGACATCTAACCGCAATGCTTGCCTGGGGCTGTTGATCATTATGAGAGACATGTTCAAGAAGACGCGGTGGGAGTTGCTGCACGAGGCAAGCAATTTGTTGACCAAGTGCATTGAGATGCTGCTACCTGGTGCAGGTGGCCTATGAGCATAGCAGATGGTAACGGACCATCTGTATCCTATACCCAGGCGTCACAGGGTTCGATGAGACGATATGTTTTTTCTGGCGAGCGATGGCATCTTTCATTCACGATATAATGGCTTACTGTCTGTTGATTCTGTGTTCAGGTCTGTCTTTTCTGATCTCATGCATTCTAGCGAGGAGTGCTTCATGTTTGATACCTTTATGTACATTCACAAGTGGCTGCTTGGGTGGTGGAATATGGGCGGGATGCTGAGTTCATTGCCATATACCCTGGGGAAGGTGTGTTAATACATCATGGACTCTTTCCATACTCTCGAAGAAAAACACGCTTATATTTCTTCGAATCCTTTGCCGTGCATCGTCGTGAGCTTGACCTGAAATGAAGATGGGGCAGGACTACGCTGCACGTGAGAGCGTGACAACGCGCAGCCTCGGAACGCGAAAGTCGCGTCTTTTTGCAAGCAGTTGTACAGAACACTTGCGTAGACAGATACATAGTCATGAACGTGTCTATGTGATCTCTGACAGGTAAATGAACAGTTGGACTGAGTTTCTGCATGGTGCGAGGTTGGCCATTCCTCGCGCCATTGCGTCATTGATTGTGAAGACAAAGCTCCCTGCCGACGTCGCGTCCATAACAACTACAATGCCCCCAAGATGCCTCGAATGAAGGCCGCCACCGTCTCCGATCAGACCGTACGAAAGCGAAAACGGAAAACCGTCGAGGACGAGGAAACACAACCAGCAGCATCGGCTGCAAAGGGCGAGGGGCCGAGCGAGGCTCACAGGATCGTTGGACCCGACGGCTCGCTAATCGACCCCAACCAACCTGACCCCATTGAGACGACGACGACGACTACGAGCGTACCCACAAAGGCGCATGATGGAGGAAAGAAGCCACGGCGTGCGCCGAAGAAGAGCGGTGCTGGCAGACCATCTCTCGCGCGCAACAACTCATCCACATTCGTTGAAACGTCGATACCGTGGCCTGAACATTTCACGAAGCTGGCTCAGGTGCATCGCGCCGTGAACCTTGTTTACACGTTTCTATGCACACGCAAACACCTTGCGACCACACTTGAAAATCTAAGAAGCACAGTCGAAGCCAACATACAGCGAGAGCTAGTGGTTGAAGATGTGGCGCAGATTACGGCATTGGTCCCGAAGGCCATCAACTTTGCCTATGTCGATGAAGCAATGCTTCTAATCAATGTCATGGGTGCAGAAGACAACCTTCACGGGAGATCAACAACGGACTTTGCGATACTTGGGCCGGAACCGGACAAGGGTGAGCATAAGGAGGTGCTGCTGTTTGAATTCATCGATGGCGACTTGAAGCGCCAGGTACAACACAAGAAGACTGGGGAGCCTACGAAGGCCACGACGAAGCTGCGGAATGAGGAACTCAAGATGCCCGTGTACAGCCAAAAGCAGATGATGAATTTGATTGAGAAGAGGAATCTCAAGTTCACATCGGCAGTCAACGCATTCCTGAACCAATGCGCCGAGGAAGGTGTTGATGCGGTAGAGAAGATCAAGAAAGTTTCAGAGGCTTTCGTTCCTGTGCCGACTGAGAGCCGACATTCCACGCCCGGCCCAGATCGATCGCTGCTACCAGCCTCCATACCAGCCGAGCGGAAACCTATTCCCGACATCCTGAATGAGATCAAAACACTTGAGTGGTATACTGGTCAGATTGTGCCGGATGGTCACCGTGTCTTCGACCCCCAGGAACCTGTTTATGGCGACTTGAACTTCGCCATGTCACAGAATCTTGTCAACGCGCTGTATAACACGAAAAACATCACTCAGCTTTACGCCCACCAAGCGGAGGCAATAAACAATCTCTACGATGGGCACAACGTAATAGTGTCAACTTCGACCAGCTCTGGTAAATCACTGATCTATCAGATCCCTGTTCTACACCAACTAGAACAAGAACCAAGCACAAGAGCTATGTACATCTTTCCAACAAAAGCGCTGGCGCAGGATCAGAGAAAGAGTATGAAGGAGCTTTTACGATTCATGCCGGGCTTCGAAGAAGTTTTAGTCGAGACGTTTGATGGAGACACTCCCATGAGCGAGCGCAATTATATTCGTGACGAAGCACGTATTATTTTCACAAACCCCGATATGCTGCACATCACAATTTTGCCGCAAGAAGATGCCTGGCGGACATACCTTCAGAATCTGCGGTTCGTCGTGGTGGATGAGCTGCACGTTTACAACGGACTGTTCGGGGCACATATGGCGTTTATCATGCGCCGTCTACGAAGGATATGCGCTGCTGTCGGAAATCGTCACGTCAAATTCATCTCCTGCTCAGCTACAGTCGCAAACCCCGAAGAGCATATGAAGACCATCTTTGGTGTTGACAATGTCAAGTTGACAGACTTCGATGGTTCCCCTTCCGGACGTAAAGAGTTTTTATGTTGGAACACGCCTTTCAAAGATCCTGGCGACCCTACTTCGGGACGTGGTGATTGCATGGCTGAGACAGCAAAGCTGTTCTGTCAATTGATGTTGAGAGGCATAAGAGCTATTGCATTCTGCCGTGTACGCAAGCAATGTGAAGCGCTGATTTCTGCTGTTAAAACTGAACTAACCAACCTGGAGCGACCGGAGGTTATCCCTCGAGTTATGTCGTATCGAGGTGGGTATACGCCGCAAGACAGAAGAGAAATTGAGCGAGAAATGTTTGACGGCAAGCTCTGTGGTATCGTATCTACCAGCGCTCTAGAACTCGGAGTCGATATCGGCTCCTTAGATGCTGTCATTACAGTCGGCTTTCCCTACACCATCGCCAACCTCCGTCAACAGAGTGGTCGTGCTGGTAGGAGAAACAGAGATTCGCTATCTGTTCTGGTCGGCGACTGCTTCCCCACTGACCAGTACTACATGTCAAATCCAGATGAAATCTTCACTAAACCTAACTGCGCACTCCAAGTCGACTTGACGAACATGCTTGTTCTGGAAGGCCACGTGCAGTGCGCTGCATTCGAGATGCCTATCAATGTCGAAGCCGACACTACCTACTTTGGCCCTCTCCTTCCCAAAATCGCCAAAGAACGCATGCGATGCGACAAGGAGGGCTTCTATCACGTGAATTCTCGTTTCCTCCCTCAGCCATCTCGTACAGTTGCAATTCGCGATACCGAAGAGGACCATTTCGCCATCATCGATATCACACACGGCAAGAACACGGTACTCGAAGAACTGGAAGCCAGCCGCGCCTTCTTCACTCTCTACGACGGCGGCATATTCCTACACCAAGGAAACACCTATCTCGTTAAGGAATTCTCGCAAGAGCGTATGCTTGCAAAGGTCGAATACGTAAAAGTAGACTGGACAACGCAGCAACGTGATTATACAGACATTGACCCCGTCGAAACAGAAGCCATCCGCCGTATCCCCGGCTCCCGATGCAAAGCTTTCTACGGCCCCATCAAGATTCAACAAGTCGTCTATGGCTTCTTCAAGATTGACAAGAAGCGCCGTATTCTTGATGCCGTTCAGGTCGACAACCCGCCCATCATTTTGTTTAGCAAAGGCATGTGGCTTGACGTACCGAAATCCGCAATGGATATCTTGAAGTCACGACGTCTGAACATTGCAGCGGGCATCCACGCCGCCGAACACGCCGTATTGTCCCTTATGCCCAACTTCGTCATCAGCATGCCGGGAGATGTACGCACGGAATGCAAAGTTCCCGAGAAGGAGTTTTTGCAAAAGGAATCAACGAGGAAGCGACCTGCTCGGTTGACGTTTTATGACGCAAAAGGCGGGGCGAGCGGTTCTGGCATCAGCACCAAAGCATTTGAGTTCATTGATACGTTGCTCAATCAAGCGTGTCAACGACTCACGTCTTGTCACTGTCTTGAAGGATGCAATGAATGCTGTAATGATGATGCGTGTAAACAGCATAACCAGGTCATGTCCAAAGCAGGTGCTATGGTCATTGTCATGTGCTTGCTGGGTAAGGAGAAGCAGATTGATGTCGAGGCGCTGCCATGGGGTGAGGAGGATGTGGAACAAGGTTTCGATACGGTGGTTGAGGCGGTTGGGGTCAGAATGGCGGAAGGCAAGACGAGAGACGGGGGGACGTTGCCTGGAGAAGGGGATGAGGGTGAGGAGAAGATGGTGAGAGCGAAACTTGTGGACGGTGTTTGGATTAAAGAGGAAGAAGAAGATGAGGATCATTTCAGTCGAAGCATTCATATGTATCGGGGGGAGAGGACGTTTATTGGAGTGCATAGGTAGCAAGGCTTCATGTCGTGTTTGGGCATAAATAAATACTGTGAAGGAAAACTACAGGAGGAAAGCTGGAGTAGAGAAATGTACCAGTGTAACGACAGAACCACAAAAGTGAACCCCCACCCAAATCATCAGCAAAGTCCGTATGTCGTACAAACCAATTATACAGAAACCCAAACCAACAAACGCCGCGCAATGCTTCATATACACGTGCCGATACCGTCATCCTAATTGTACTGCCTGCTCTTAGCAGCCAGCTCCTCTTCCTTCTGCTTCTTTGCCGCCTCCAACTTCCTCAACTCTCTCGCCACACCCCCGGACGCCCTCCACCAGACATCTGTGCCCGTTCTGATCAACCTCTCCGCTGCACTTGTTGGACCATCAACTGCCGGCCTAACGTCGAGGAAGAAGACTGGCTCGCCCGTAGGTTCGGGCTCACCCTCGTAGTAATCAATCACGTATCTAATCTCCTTGCACCCTTTCTCGTTGCAGCGTTCGACGAACCAATCGTGGCGATCAAACGGGGGCGCCGTGCCAAACTTTTCCGGCATAACATAACCGAGCCATTGCAGTATTTGAGATTTCGGCGTCGGTTCCGTAGGGCGACCGGTAAAACGAAGGAGTTTCGGGGGTTGGACATCCTTTTGGTCCCAGGTTGTTGTGTCAAAGGGGTCGTCGTGTGTGCCGAGCATAAAGTTTGCGACGTCTTCGCCCTTTTTGCAAATCTCATAGCCTTCTGCTAAACCGCGGGAGAAGCGTCGCTCCCAGCCCATAATCTCCGCCCAGGCGCCCTCGTTGAGGAAGTTGTGTACGCCAACCATGGACTCGACGGCTGTGATGTCCGTGTCGGTGTAGCCTTTGCGTAGCATGGCGTTGTACATTTGCTGGGGTGAGGGGTACTCCCAGAGTGACCCGTCACCTTTGGGAATCGTAGAGGTTTCGCGCTCGAGAGGGAGGTTTACGGATTGCGTGTCAGCTCGCTCGTTTGAGAGTTCGGCGAACATGTTATTGAGGGGGTTTAGACGAGCGAGTAAGCCGGTCTTTGGTGGTGGCTCTGATGCGCCGGTGGAGGCATTTTCAGGCGGAACGTAGGGGCAGGCGCCTTGCGGTGTCTTCTTTTCGGCGACTACGGGCGCTGTGGGTTTCTTGTGCATTGGACATTCTGGCTGCGATGTTGTTAGAGGCGCATGCGCATGTGGAGTGGCACAAAACATACTGGAGGCTCCATGCTGCCTCGAGGCATAGGATGCGGCGCAACACGTGCAGCAGGTGCAGCAGGTGCGGTGTCTGCCCAAAACCAACCCATTATCAAGAATCGTGTAGAAGAAGAATTACGGCTGCGAAAACCAGAGGCAAACAAGGGTATATAGGGCTGAAGAAGATGGAACGGGTGGCGGAGTTTATCGGGAGAAACAATTTCGTGCAGGGTCCTCGTCGTCATCGCTCTAAGCAGGTCAGCTGCACTCCGATTGGCCAGATGACTCAACGCAGTGAGAGATGATTTGGAAGCGATATTTGGATTTATTTTCAGTTATATTCTTCATATTGTAGGCATGTGTGTTAGATTTTGTTGTATTCCAGTCCAGAAGCATCTTGTGTTGCTCTCCGACTGCAGTCTTCTATGATCCCGCCGCCTTTGCCGCCAACTGGCCAGTTCCCCGAGAGCTGAAGATGGCCATGATACCAAAACTACCATAGAAAAGAACCATGGGGTATGCTACCAAGCCTCGCATCGAAGTCATGCGCCCTGTGAAGTATGTTAGTCTCTGTAACAACCCTATCAGAAGTCTCAACTTACCAACAACAGTGAACATCGAACTGGAGCTGTAAGAACACCATGTGATAGCCAAGCTTGTCAGAAGATATCCAAACAGCCCGTCAAGTGGAACAATGATTCCAAACATCGATACCAGGACGAGAGGAAGCAGACAGTATCCAAGCACCGAAGCTGATCGCGGGAATGTCAGCGAGGAGCCGAGGTGTGAGCCATGCGGGTGACCGTGGTCTCCAGGGGTTGCCTCAACCGCGTTGACAGGCGGAGACATGAGCGAGAGGATCTGGTGGAGTAGAATTGTGCCGACGAACGCCAGGCCTGTCTCAGTCAGCTATTGTCTTCTTCGACCAGTCGTTTGGCCTACCATAGATGTAACCAAAATGAAGCTTGCCGGACAACTGCAGCCTGTCAGCTCTTGTTTCCCTGAGTTGCTATCGACCTTCATACCAACAATGATGTGCCAAAAATCAAGAAGAAAAGTATAGGACCTGCTACGTCGCTGTCGTCCATGATGTGCTGGTCGATACGACCAAATGGGTTCAGAACGGCCAATGTCTTATTCATCGTCAGCTGTGGATAGCACGAGGCATGGTCCAGAACCGACCTTCATTTGTATATGCCTGAAATTCACTCCCAACTCTTCCACTACACAATGTCAGCTCGTTGTATGCGATCGTGAAGTCGTGTTGCGTACATAGCGGCGGTTCTCCGTCATATCTGCTACAAGTCAGCGATTGTTACACAAACACATCCTCGCGACCTACCCCTCAGTACCAAAAGCTGCCAGCCATCCTGTCCGTAGCCCTGAACTGCCCATGCCCATCTGACCACTCACGCCCGGTGCAGCGAACCCCGCGCCATACTGTGCGGGGTATGCTTGACTTGCCGGTGCGCCATAGTTTGCCTGGAACGGTGTAGAATGTCCAGATACTGGCTGATTGGAGAATGAAGATGGGTAGAATTGGAGGTTCTGCGCATTTCCTGCGCCGTATTGAGGATTTTGTCCGTAGCCATATTGCGCCATTGTTCAATATGCAATTGCGTGTAGTCCCGTGATCGGAAGTAGGTTTCGAGCTGTGATGATCTGGCTGTAGGGTGTTCGCGGTGCTGGAGCCTGGCGGAGGTCTAGCGGAGGTGGTTTTGGGTCAAGATGGTACGTGGAGCTGGAGACGACGTCACCAGAGACTACCGGGCGGAAAGGACAGATCGCGGGGAAAGTAGGCTTTGGTTTTGGGAACGGAGGGCTTGCTCGCTGAAGTTGAAGGAAAGATTGTTTGTTTGCAATGTTGCGGCTCAAAGTGGCAGCCACATGTCATCGTGTGCATCGGCGTTGGCCATTCACAAGCCGCCGGGGCTTGGCAGCAACATGAAGGCGACGAAACCACATGGCACTACTGCATGTACTCGAAATGCAAACACACAGCAGGAGGGATGATTGTTCGTGAACTTGACAACACATGTTCAGAAATGTTTATTCGTGGGCTTGAGAGGGGTATCTAACACTAATTCTAAGAGGAGAGTCATCATTCATACATCAGAAAACCGACAGTTGCTGTATTCGCAAGCAATGTCGTGTCCGTCGTCACGGAAGGTATCTGGGCTCTTCCCAAGCCTCAGACGCTAAGTTCAGTACATCTCCCTGGTTCGTCTTGACGTATAGTTGCACCAGTCACACTGTCTAGGCGTTAGCAGCAGGTTATACCTCTCGCTGTATTGTACTGACCATGGTGTCGGAAGACGCATCGTTATCTTCACGACAATACTCATTGTTGCATTTCTTGCAAGTCCGAATAAAAAGCTCTTTACAGCTTATGCACGTATGGCCACAGCCAAAACAATCACGTCTTACACCGATAACCTGCAGCAGTTCACGTTAGCCTATTTCTTGATTCAAGATCGAGCACTTACCTTGGCGCGCAAGTGACAGTTCCAGGTGCAATTATCCAATAGCCAGGCTCCACGGCCAGTCTGGGTAAGACTGGTTTCCGGAATCCAACTACATCGTAACGGCCTCAAGGTAGCATCGCTTCTCGCGCGCCAAGGTAGGTCCATCATCCCCACATCCCGTCGCTACCGGCTCCGGCCATCATTTCTTCACGGAGGCAGTGTTCCACGCAGAGGCCCATATGTACCTTGATCGTTTGCTTTGGGAGCAGTTGACTGGTCCCATCAGGTTTCAAGCTCTCAGTAAGCTCGGTCTGCTGTAGTTCCGTACGTTGGGCGGTAACGGATCCAGTATAACAATCCTCGTCCCACCATTTGTGACATCTTTCGCACCAACGTCCCTTAAGGCAGTCCTCGCATCGCACTATCAGAGGCGGTGGCACAGAACCGTCGAGAGTATGCGGTATCTGGGCAGCACGCACAGAGGAGCCATGCAGCGGTACCGGGCTGAGTAATGGATGGTGTGATGGGCTTGAGTCGCCGAAAACTGCCGGTCCTTCTGGAGACGAGTGACATGTCTCGCAGCCCGATGGGCCAAGTGCGACAGTTGCGATTGTAGGCCGCAGGAAAGAGGATGGATGAGTTGCTCCACTCGCAGTTGCATCCCTAACATATGCTTTGCTCGGGTCATGTCGTGGTCCTCTGCACAGAACAGCATCGAAAGCAATGATGCCTTCGCATGCTTGGAGTATTTCTGCCCATTCCGGGGACGGCCGCTTTGGTATGATTTTGCCAGAAGATTGATACCATTTGTCCTCGGTCTGCGCTAGTACAGCGTCCAAGGCTTGTTGCGATTTCTCGTTCCATTGTGCCCCAATCTGCGCCCCTTGCGAAGTCGTCACGCCTCTAGGAATGTCTGCGGACAGTTTTCTCGTCACGGGCGATGTAGGACGCGGGGTCCGGTCGCGGGGTCCAAAGATGTAGATGCCTTTGACTCGAGGTGTGCCCGCAGGCCTTGACGGTCGAACCGCATATCGGAGGTATTGCTGAAGCTTGCGCTCGTTCATGTGCTTAGCTTCGCGAATAGAAAGTATACGAACGTTGAATCGTTCTTCCGTAAGCAATTCTTTGACCAACTCTGCTGTCACGCTGAGTCCGTCTAGGACGAGTGTGTGTACGTTACGCAGGACATGGAGCTTCTCCAGCCTGTTGAAGATGTGGCGTAAAGGACCGCTGTAAAAATCGTCTTCTGTGAGGGCTTCATCCATTCGCTCAGCGCGAAAACTGACACCACCGACATCAAGAGGTCCATCGAAAGGCACAATAGCAGACTTTACAGGGGAGAGGTCCAGGTAGCGGAAGGCTTCTGGCGACTGGAAGACGGCATGATGTAGAGACTTGCAGGTTCGCGACAGGTTACGAAGGGCAGATATTGGCAGGTAGGGAGCAGTTTGGCGCAGGATCAAGGTGTTGGAAAGTAGGTCCGCCAGGGAGGTAGGGAGGTCGTCACAGAAAGTGGAAGGGCCCATGGCGAGTGCTCGAGGAATACAACCAGAGAAATTTGGCCAGAGGTTAGATGGGTACTCACCGATTCTTTATCACAATGCAAGACGGCAGGCCAGACAGGCACGTGCCACTGATCTGACACTGCAGGTGTGTGTTGGATGAGCAAAAGGAAAGACTAATCGAGGTTGAGACGCTGCAGAAGATGGGGTTTGCGTAGGCGTGGGATACCGCCGATGGCTCGCTCCCTGCGGCGATCGCAAATGGAGACCCTGCCAAGGCCGGTGTAGTACGCAACTCAAAGCTTCCTGCAAGATCAGGCCGCGATGAAGCATAGATTGGAACACGTCTTGCAGCCAAGGCCGCGCCGGAGGTCTTGGTCATGGACTGTGGAAACAGGCTAAAACAGTCGCTGCGAGATGTCAAGCATGCGACGCGACGCTGGAAGCCACCGGGGTAATAGCCCCACGTTGGCCGGTTACGAGCATGAATCGACATATCGAAACTCAACAGGAGTCTTAGTATAGATGGTGCCAGAGCTCCTTAAGATAGTGCCCGGGCAGAGCCAAGGATCTCTTGCTGAATAGCGAAAAGACTTGCAAACTTTGATTGCTTGAATTTCCACGCGCATTAGAGGTTGCATGTTGGATACCCTCCGCGATAGTCTATCGGAGTATCTACGGAGGGCTAGTGATCGCCTCTCGCCAATGCACCAAGGGGAAAGGTTGCTCACCGGACGCCCAAGATCCCAGGCCGAATATAGATAGAGACCAGGATTGGGGAAAATGGGTAGTTTTCTCCGTCCAACGGTGGCGGTACCTTCACGCGTTACCACGCGAGGCGCGAGCGCTATCGATAAGCCTAACGGGCCGAGGCGCGGAAAGGAAGCGCAATGACGCCAGGCATTCACCGAAGCTTCGAGTAGAGAGGCGCATATGTCAGCCATTTCACGCTTCCAGCACAACAACTGCGATCCTTGATGCGTTTCTCACCACAGTCTCTACCTTTGATTCTCCGCAGGTAAGACACATCTACCATGAATTCGGAAGCAGAACTAGCAGAGCTGAAGTGGTCCGCTCAATACCAACTCGCGCACGTATCTCGAAGCACGCTACCGGGCGACAAACTTCTCCTTCCACCGTCAGCGTTGGAGCAGCTTCTCGCTGCGGCGCCCGTTGTTCACGTCGACGGAAATCGACCTCACATCACCGCCTTCGATCCCTTCAACCCGTACACGTTCAACGCCGAACGCCACGCAAGACAACAGACGCAGGACCGCTTCCAGCAGCTACCCCACCCACTTACCTTTCGACTCGTGAACCCGGAAAACGGCAGGGTTGTACATGCAGGGATACGCGAGTTCTCTGCAGAAGAGGGCGAGATCGTATTGAGCAGTTTCCTGAAGGAGGCGTTGGGAATCCAGACACAATCTGCAGAGCCGTCGAGAGATGCTAGTCCAGATGGGCAGGAGGAAGTCGATGCGGCCATGTCGAACGGAGCAGCACCACTCGAAAACAACGGTGCTGCATCCACAAAGATTACAGTGCATGCCAAACAGCTGCCGAAGGGCACCTTTGTAAAGCTACGGCCGCTCGAAGCTGGTTATGACCCAGAAGACTGGAAATCGCTACTTGAGGAGCATCTTAGATCCAACTTTACAACATTGACGAATGGCGAGGTCTTGGTTGTAGACGGTGGCCGAGGCGTTGGTGGCAAGCGCGAGGAGTTTCGTTTCCTTGTAGATGGCTTCAAGCCTGAAGGAGATGGGATTTGCGTGGTAGACACGGACCTGGAGGTGGACATCGAGGCTTTGAATGAAGAACAAGCACGCGAAACAATGAAGAGGATAGCTGCGAAGATGCACCGTGCACCCGGAACGTCGCAAGGTAGTTCTACCGGCGGGCTGGTTGACATATTCAATGCGCAAACCGGACAAGTACTTGACGGAGAATATGTTGATTTCGAGCTGTCGTCATGGGATAGATCTCGAGGCTTGGAAATTCTCTTAGATGAAGTGGACGATGAGGATGAGGTTGATCTATTTGTCAGTCCATATTCATCACGACAAAGAGCTCGTCCACGGGAAGACGAGCATGTCTTTGCAGACGTAACAAGTCAGTACCCGAAACGCATACGCCTGCGGCCTACAAATGTCGAACTCGACGATGCAGAAGCTGTGTGGATTTCAGTCCATGCATACCCATCCGAATCACCCTCAAACACACCCAAACCCTTCCACTTGAAGGTGTCGGTTTACGATCCCAATACAGAAGCAGAAGATAAAATGGAAGATGTTCTGGAGTCCAATGGAGCGATGGGACCGGACGAAGTAATTTGTCAAAACTGCAAACAACGAGTGCCCAAAGGCTCACTCTTTTTGCATGAGAACTTTTGTTTGCGAAACAACATTCTCTGCCCACAAGGTTGCGGACAAGTCTTTCAGAAGCGTTCGCCTGCCTACCAAACCCACTGGCATTGTCCCCATGATACCTTCACTGGTAACACTCCATTAAGCCGACAGAAACATGATGCTCTCTACCATACGCCACAGCTTTGCTCGACTTGCGATATGGACTTCCCGTCGATACCCATGCTCTCACATCACAAGACTACAGTATGTCCTGGCAAACTGATTCTTTGCCGCTTCTGTCATCTACAGGTTCCACAGGAAGGTGATCCGAATGATCAGTCCCCAGAACTCCTCCTTTCCGGCCTTACACCACATGAACTAGCAGACGGCGGCCGAACAACAGAATGTCACCTCTGCAACAAGATCGTTCGCTTTAGAGATATGGACACACATCTCCGACATCATGATCTGGAACGCCTGTCCCGCCCTCTACCGCGCATGTGTCGGAACGTTAATTGCGGCCGTACTCAAGATGGTGCAAACAAGGCAGGCGATACACGGGCTGGAACGCGCAAAGGCCAAGGCCCAGGCAACGAGATCGGCCTGTGCAGTGTCTGTTTCGGGCCTCTCTACGTCTCTCTGCACGACCCAGAAGGCAAAGCACTCCGCCGCCGTATCGAGCGCCGCTACCTCTCTCAGCTACTTACTGGCTGTGGGAAGGCTTGGTGCAAGAACGAATATTGTCGCACCGGCCGTAAGAACTTGGGACAGGAAGACAAGTCTGTACCCACTAAAGACGCTATCCCACTGGTGAAGCCATTCTTGCAGGGCATGGATGGGAAGGGCTATGATACTCCGCTGCACTTCTGCGTCGACGAGAGGACGCAGAAGTCTAGAACGCTAGCTGAGATGATTGCTGCAGAAAAGGGCATTGAGGGCAAAGGTGGATACGGTCTAGAGTGGTGTATTGCTGCAATGGAAGCTGAGGGTGGAGATCTAGATAAGGCGAGGAGCTGGCTCAAGGGGTGGGCACCTCAGAGAACGGAGGCCAGCTAGTGAGAGCTGAGAATGTTCTCATCGATGCATTTGCATTGCCGCAATTAGAACAATAGAGGTACGATGGGGGTTGTAGCATATAGACTAGACTAGAGAGATACCCAGTAACGATGTAGACGACCTTGAATTCACATAATCGAATCTACACATGAATCTCAATCCCATATTCTCTCCACATGGTCTAGAGCTTACTCTTCCCACTCTTGTCTTGCCCCTCTCTTTCCGTCTGCCTACCCATATCCTTCGTATTGCTCGTCTCCGCTTTCAAGCTGGCTGGATCTCCGAGTTGCGTCTTATTGACCTTTGCCCCGTCGTCATTTGCTAGTGTACCTCGTACCTTTTTGCTGTGCGGAAGATTCTCCTTTGCCTCATTCTTCTTACCTCCTTGCTTCCCATCTTCCATGTTTCGACCCTCTACGTTTCCGCCATTGCCTGTGGCTTTTTTGTCGCCGCCACCAGCGCTTGTACCAGCTTTGCGATAAGGGTCTGAGACTGTGGGAGCAGAATCTGAAGATGAAGATGAGGACGAAGAGGCAGACGGTGTATCATTCCCTTGACCGGCTGGTGGAGCGGAATCATTTGATGGGAAAGACTTCTTGTCGTCGCTGGCGGGTTTCAGACTCGTGCCATCGCCTAGATCGGGGGTAGATTTGGAGGAATTTATTGCTTCTTTGGTCTTTGGGTTTGAAAGGGTGCCGCGGACGGATTTGGAATGCAATGTGTCGACCATTGTTGCTGATGTTATCCGTGTAGGTATGTTTGGTGATGTTACAACTGCGGAGTAGAAAACCTGGGGAAGAGGAGGTTATGACCTATCAGTACCTCGGCAGCTACATCATTGAGACATAGGCGTAGTTTGAGATCTTCCTACTTGTTTACGGCTCGCGTGTCTTTGACGTACTGTTTAGCGCGTATAGATGACGTCTTGCATTATTGAGGTGCGCAATCACATGAAAGCATTAGGGTCAGATTTGAGTCTTTCCACACTCGTTGTTAGAAGTTGCATGTTCCAAAGTGGGCATCGGTCTCAGACTGTGTTGTTGTTTGTTCTTAAAGCATCAATGTCTGTCGTAGCGACGAACGAATGAGGCTGCGTCGGCGGCTTACTGAGCTGAGCACTGATGATCCCCATGATCCGTCGCACCTCGGCATCTCCCTACCCCAGAGCTCCACAATCATGTCCTCGATAAATGTCGCGGGAGCGATACAGGCGGTTCCTGTCCCAGAGAATATCGATGCGCCATGACAGACGCCGTCATTTCCCGCCTGTCGTCGGTTCCTTGGGCTGCTGCCTTGATCAATGACCCCAATTGGACTCGAGTCAACACTGCCTCCCGGACACCAAAGGCATCTGGAGAAGATTCCTTCTTCGCAGAGACTCTAAGCACAGGCCGTACGATACGAAGCCTTCTGACGCTTCGACCGATCAACGAAGAAGATGGTGATATTGCATACAAGGAGGTCAAGACTATCGTGGAGCTAGGCGACGGACTCAACGGCTACCCACAGATCATACATGGGGGTTGTGCTGCGACACTACTTGACGAGATGTGCGGCATCTTAATCATGCTGAATATGGAGAGGAAGGTGCAAAAGATAACAGAGGACGGCCGCCGCGCAGCTGCCTTGAACTACTTTACCGCCTGTTTGTTCATGTCGCGCATCAACTCTAACACACAAGCTGAACGCAGACAGATCTGAACACCACCTACAAGAAGCCGGTGCCGACACCCGGTGCGCTCCTTCTTACGGCCAAGATCGAGCGACAAGAAGCGGGCGATCGGAAACTATACGTTCGTGCGACCATCGAAGACGGCCACGGTACACTATACACGCTCGGCGAAGCCTTGTTCATCAGGGTTTCAACCAAGCTATGAGGTCGTTGTGAACCGTCACATGCTCTACATGTGAACAGCCAGTGATGTGACAGTATTACAATGTGTTACGGAATGTCCTCAAAGCGCCTGTCAAAATGAGCCTCACTCGGATGCCGGTCGCCGACCAGCCTCAAGAGCACGTCGACCAAAGTAGCGCGTACTAAACCAGTACATGAATACAGTCTCTCATCTTCGACGTCGTACCACTCGCGTGGCCATCTTTTGTACACGGCTGTGTGCCGACATGTTTGTCGTACGACACCGCACAATACAATTGCATGCCATGATCCTACGCAGGATGACATTGCGCTTGTTGTTGATGCAAATCCCAACCCCTTTTCTCTACTGTAATACAGAATCCCTGTCATACTTCGATTTTTGAACATCTATCACCATAGCCACCTTCCAATACTGTGACTAGACGGGCGTGTACTTGGAAATTGGCGCTGCTAACTTTTTCTACCGCAATTAGGCTGACCGACTTTGTCCGAAGTTACAAGCGTACGTTCGCTTGACTACCTGGATCGCATACTCTGTGACTATTCCATCGGCATCTGCTCATGTTTTGCGACATATGAAGCTACTGAGCGCGGCGCCAGCCCTTAGTGGCAGATCGGCCGAACGTGCAAGCTGGGTTCCGGCCACATGACTGGTCACAACCATATTCTTTTAATCTATCCAACCCTGACCCACATGATCTACCCTGTGCATGACCGTCGTCTAGGCCTGGCTCCTAAGATCTGGGGTAGTCAAGCCGGCGCTTGCGATGTTGCAATCTCCAAGGCATGCACACAAGAAATCCTTCTCTACAATACGGCGCTCGAACAACCTCTAACCCAACTAAAGCTCTACCATGCCCAGGCCTGGGCATGTCCGAGTCCACAAACGGCGCTAGATGCTCCACAGTGAGCGTTCATGCGCCTGACGTCGCCGTCATTTGCAATTCTTTTACTGGTGCCGTTTCAAACTGACTTTGTTCCGATCAGGCAGGTCCAAACAATGTTGCCGGGCTGGTCTTGAGGTTGATTGTCTTGCGACAGTCTCACAAGACTCCCTGCATTTGCCCCATCACTGCACAGTCGGTGTAAAGTAAGTGCCTTGACGTCCAAGAAGAAACTAACAGGAGCACGCGGTCTTGAGGCTTATGCTGCAGGGCAAGATCATAGGGCAGACTCATGCAGTGCGATGCATGGCTCTACTATCCAGGACTACCCCACATTCAGGCGTCGCCGTCGAACTACGGTAGATGGCGCAAACCCGGGGTTCTAGCATTCATGACCGGGGAGCCAATCGCAGAGACGTTCGCTCTGGTCTTAGGATTAGTGTTCATCACATGCTTTGTTCGGTGCTTGCGTTGTCACTGGACAGCACTTCACAGAAGAAATATGCGTAGGGCCGACCCGATGACCAGTGCCTATCAAGGTTAGCTGTAAATCCCCTGAGTCTCCTCGCAACTCCTTCTCTGCTTGCAGCTTACTCAAGGCGTATGTCGAAAGGCATGTTGCATATCAGTATCCGCTACCATTCAACCTTCGGTGAAAGCTGCAATTTTTGTGCATCATAGCGACAGATTGCGACAAATGGAAAGGTGGACCAGGCTCGCCAAATGGCTAAACAAAGCAAAGTATTCTTCGGAGATTTGGCTTGAAGGGGACGGGTGTAAGTACGCGCTCTTCCAGTCCCCAGACTACGTTACTCAGACTAAGACATCTCGAACTGTGAACCGAAATGAGCTATGTAACCCCTTCAAACGGCAACGGGGGTAGCCGCCTAGTGAGTCAGTATGCGGTAGGTCCTTATGACCTTCTAAGTGGCAGTCGGTGAGGTTTCCTCATCACCGGATACTGCTCGTTAGCCAGTCGGCAGGCTTCGTAGGGGCAGATCCTTAAACTGATCGCGTGGGTGTATGGGTCTTCTCCTATCACCCAAGAGGGGCGGTAGTAAACAAACGGAGGTGTTAAATAGACATCATTATCTCCCCTCCTGAGACCTCTTCTTTATTACTATACTCTACACTCCTTTGTACACCTTCTCTTGGTGTTTCTACTGTACATAGGATTGTCTACTGGTACATTCTTACGAACATGCGCTTACCCTCCTTGATTGCCTGCCTCGGTGCAGTCGGTATTCAGGGTGCTGCTATATGTAAGCAAATATCTCCCCCCTTTTTACAACTTAAGGCTGACATTACGTAGCCCGGTTTAGCAGACAAGTATCAAATGATACTGAGCCTGCATCAAACATAAGCAGCATCCAAGGAATTGCTGCTATCACAGATGGATACTGGTTAAATGATCTCTCTGGCAATGGAAGGGCTGCCTTCAACGGTAATAGCGCTTACAAAGTCTTCCGCAACGTCAAGGAATACGGCGCGAAGGGTAAGTCACTTTGCTTTTCGTATTCCAACATGCCATTGACGCTCTTACAGGTGACGGTGTTACCGATGATTCCGATGCAATCAACCGTGCTATTTCCGACGGGAACCGTTGCGGTCCCGGCGTGTGTGACTCGGCCACTGATTCCCCAGCCGTGGTCTACATCCCTTCTGGAACTTACCTCATCAGCAAACCCATCATCTTCTATTACATGACACAACTCATCGGTAACCCTCGAGGTCTCCCTGTTTTGAAGGCTGCTCCTACTCTCCAAGCTCTTGCTCTCATCGACGCTAGTCCTTATGGCAGCAACGGTAACGCTGGCTGGACGTCAACTAACATCTTTCTACGACAAATCCGTAATTTGGTCATCGATGGCACCGCTGTTGCACCTACCAATGGCTTCCAGGGTATCCACTGGCCTGCCTCGCAAGCTACAACTATCCAGAATGTCAAGATCCGCATGACCCAGGCGTCAGACTCGGTACATGCTGGTATCTTCGTTGAGAACGGATCTGGTGGCCACATGGCTGACCTTGATATTGAAGGTGGTTTATATGGTATGAACATTGGAAACCAGCAGTTCACCATGCGCAATGTCAAGATCTCCAAGGCTGTCACCGGTATCTCTCAGATCTGGGACTGGGGCTGGTTGTACTCCGGTCTTTCAATTAGCGACTGTGGAACCGCCTTCTCCATGAGCAATGGTGCCGCCGCCAACAAACTCGAGGTCGGCTCTGTTGTCATTATCGACTCTGAGATCACCAACTGTCAGAAGTTTGTCGATATGGCGTGGACAAGGACCAGTCAGCCTATTGGTGCTGGCCAGCTGATACTCGAGAACATCAAGCTCAACAATGTGCCAAACGCTGTTGTAGGCAACGGAGCCACTGTCCTCCCAGGTGGAACGCTCACTATCCAAGCTTGGGGTCAGGGCAACAAGTACGCTCCCAATGCGAACGGTCCAGAGAAATTCCAGGGAAACATCTCTCCTGTCGCTCGACCAGGAAGTCTTTTGGATGGTGGCAAGTACTATTCCAAGTCGAAGCCGCAGTACGAGAACCTCGGTACTGGTGACTTCATCAGTGCTCGTGGTAGTGGAGCCACAGGTGACGGTCGTACCGACGACACCAGGGCTGTACAGGATGCCATCACCAGGGCCGCTGCTCAAAACAAGGTGCGTAATCGCTTTAGTACTACACTTTATCTCTTTTTCAAACACTAACTCTACCATCCTTGTAGGTTCTCTTCTTCGAACATGGCGTTTACAAGGTCACAAACACCATTTACGTCCCGCCAGGCTCCCGAATGGTCGGTGAGACCTTCTCTGCTATCATGGGCTCAGGTGCCACATTCGGCAACAAAGACAGCCCTGTACCCATCATGCAGATTGGCAAACCCGGCGAGAGCGGTCACATCGAATGGTCTGATATGATTGTGCAAACCCAAGGTGCTACTCCAGGAGCTATTGTCATCCAATACAACCTCAACAGCGACCGTGGCTCCGGCGTCTGGGATGTTCACACCCGTATCGGAGGTTCCAAAGGTACCAATCTGCAGGTTGCTCAATGCCCTGCCACTGTTGGATCCGTCAATCAGCAATGCATGGCTGCACATACCAACGTGCACGTTACCAAGGGCGCGAACGGAGCTTATTTTGAGAACAACTGGTTCTGGACAGCAGATCATGATTTGGATGATGCACGATCCACACAAATCTCCATCTTCACCGGACGCGGACTGCATATCGAAGCGCAAAACGTGTGGCTATGGGCTAACGGCGTGGAGCATCATGCGCTATACCAGTACCAAGTAAGTCACTCTCAATTCTGTAACATGGCAATACAAGCAAAAGCTAACAAATAGATAGTTCAACGACGCATCGAACATCTTCGCGGGCTTCATCCAAACGGAAACCCCGTATTATATGCCCACACCTGATGCCTCGAACCAGCCCTACGGCAGGTCCGACGCTTTCTCGGACCCCGTCTACCCATCTGGTGCATCAGCCTATGGTCTCCGCGTGCTCAGATCCAAGAATGTGCTCATCTACGGTGGCGGCTTGTACTCCTTCTTCCGCAACTACAATGTCGGATGTTCAAGCGCTGACGCACCAAATGGGTTCCGCAACTGCCAGAGTCGTGTCTTCTCTATCGAGGGTGCTAGCAGTGTGCAGGCTTTTGCACTGAGTGAGGTGGGTAGCGAATTTATGGTTACAGTTGATGGGGTCGACAAGGCCAAGTGGAGTGACAACCTAAGTGTGTACTCGAACACTATCGGGTGGCTCGGATACGGATTCTAGATCTGGAAGGGGATGTTGAAGTGTAAATAGGAGTGAGGGATTCAATCGGCTGTATATATGGGCTGGAGTTTGGTGTTCCCCAGGTTTGCTGGCTACGGTCGCTATTCGTTGGTCGGGTTATCATACTATGGGCTTAGTATGTGCTTTCTTCGACAATGCAAAGTCTCAAATCATGCTTTTTCTCCATTTATTCTCTACCGAGTGTCAGCATTGATTCCGGGGTCATGTAGTCGTGTGGCTGGCAGTTGATGTTGCACCTCAAGCTCAATACTCGTGCGTGAATAGTAAATTCATCTCATGATCACTATCTAATACTACTCGTATGTCTTCTGACCAACATTCAGTGCTTCGCGAGGATAGTTTGTTAGGATTTCTAACGTCAACCGCTAAAAGTTGCTGTTTCCCCACGTGGCGGACCCTGCATACACAACTCCAGGCTGCCCCACCGAGGGGCACCCAGGTAGCTCTGACGTTCGAAAGCTGTCGAGCGCAGCTACAACATCACCAAAAAAACAGTCTACTTTCAATACATCACACTCCAATCGCAAACTGTTAGAACAAACCGATCGATATCCAAGATGGCTGGCGTCAATCTCCAAGAAGTCCACGACTTCATGATCTCTATCGCCAAACAAGCTGGTGAACGAATCGTCTCCGCAAAACCCACAACTCAAGGCTCAGGATCGAAGAAGAACTGTACGTATCGATCGCTGAAGTGGGATTCTGTACTATCAAAACGATGAGTACTAACCAAATTGGATTGCAGCGGTCGATCTCGTCACCGAAACTGATCGCGCCGTCGAGAATCTTATTTCGACATCCCTCCGCGAGAAGTACCCAGACTATGAATTCATGGGCGAAGAAACATACGTAATGCTCCCGTACGAACTGCATATGAGACAGTTACTGATCTAGAACATCATTCTCCAGAAGCCCGGCGACAAACTTACTGCAGCACCGACATTCATCTGTGACCCCATCGACGGAACGACGAACTTTGTGCACCGATACCCTTACGTCAGCATCTCGCTCGGTCTAGCGATAGAGCGTGAGCCTACCGTAGGAATCGTGTACAACCCATTCACACAAACTTTGTACTCTGCGATAAAAGGACAAGGCGCGTATATGAATCAAACGACCAAATTACCACTATCACCACCAACGCCGCTAGAGACACTGAATACCTGTTTGGTTGCTGTGGAGTGGGGCAGTGACAGGAGCGGGAATGACTTCAAGGTCAAGAGTGAGACTTTCAAGAAGCTGGCAGCCACAAAGGAAAATGGGGGTGGCATGGTACATGGGTTGAGATCATTTGGTTCGGCGGCGCTGAATCTGTGCGGGGTTGCGAGCGGAGGTTTGGACATTTACTGGGAAGCGGGATGCTGGGCATGGGATGTTTGTGCTGGGTGGGTTATCTTGAAGGAAGCCGGCGGCATGGTGGTTGATGCAAATCCGGGGAACTGGAACCCAGAGGTTGAGGGGCAGAGGTATCTTGCTGTACGAGGAGGTGAAGGACAAAAGGAGATTATTGAGGAGTTCTGGAGCTTGGTTGATGGTGCGTTTGAGGTGGGTATGTAGAGGATGGATACTCCCGTGAGAAGAGTGGCAAACATGGTCAAGTTCGGACATCATATCACATCAGCATCAGCGCAATAGTTAGCGGCGGCCAAGGGTTTTCTCATTATTGCCACCACTAAGATATCCTCCACAGTCAGTCAGAACCTTTCGAGCGGTCTCGATCAATCTGTCACCGCATCGAACACGTCTCCACCAGAGAGTGGTGTTCTCCAGCACGATGTCTTCCTGATCCACGCAGCACCATGTTTCCAAAAACGAATGTCCCTTCTTTTCCTTGGTATTCATACAACAAGCGCTTGATTCCCCAAAGCACAAAACAAAGGAAACACAGTTTCGTCGTCGTGTACTCTCTCCGCAAGCAGAGAGGGGAAGAGCTCGTTGATATCGTTGAATTAAGGATCAGGGGAAACGCGATAGGGGTAAGCAAACTCCACTAGTAAAAGAGAGCGAGCAAGAGAGATAAGATGAGTTGGGATGATACAACGGTACGCCGAATGTTTTTGGTTGTTTTCACGTTTTGTCGCTGGTCGGCAATTTGGATGTGCGAGCGGAGCAAGGTATGGTTTCCAACTTGGTGTGTACTCCGGGGTTGTATGCGAGGTGTGTTTGTTTGCGGGTGTTGCGGCGACGGGTAAGTGGGTGTGCGAATCAGTGTCTTTAGATGGTCCTAGGAGTGCCGCGGGCTGAGGCGCTGCCGGATTGTCAGTACGAGATCAACATCACAATATGCAGGGATCTTCAAAAGAGGGTATAGCAGAGAGGCGCAAGGCGTACCTCGCGTCCACAAGATCATCGACATGATTGCACATAGCCACGAACAAGTCAAAGAACAGTTTTCCCCCCATCTCCATCTCCATCTGCATGGTGCCACTACGCTTGAAAGTTTTCCGACTGCGGATAATCAGAGCGAGGTAATGAGCGCGCAGCCGCGAGTCGCTATCCGGCGTATTCTCGTACGCGTAACGAGCGCTGCGCAAGATGGTTCCGACCTCGATCCCGCTCTGCAGGCCCTGCTTGCGCAGAGAGAGCTTCTTGAGCTCTTCGAGGCCATAGCGATCAGCTGCACAGTAGACTGCTGTGTCGCGGAGAATGACGTCTCCTACGCCGGAGTGGAAAAAAGTTGGCTCGACAGCAGCTGCGCGGTCGCCGAGTTTATTTGGGTCGGGGGAGGCAATTGCACCTTCGAGCATCCAGGTCTGGCGGCGCTTGTCTTGGACAAGGCGTGGGTAGTAGTCGCCCTTGTACAAATACTCGAGAATACAACTGAAAATCTCAGGTTCCTCCGTGGGCAGATCGATGCGGCGATTAGCGGACTCGAAGAACTGGCTCCGCAGCAGTTCAGCAAAGTACGGAGAGTGACTTAATACATCTTCGTGCGCAGCGAACAGTCGCTGGTCGGAACCAACGATGACTGTTACGATGGAAGAGGTGAGCGCTGGTGAGCCACCATCCATCATTGGACTGTCCTTGCGCGTATCCAGCTTCTCGGCCATGACCTTCTGCTTGGACGCATCGCGGAACGATCTCTTCGGCTGTTTGGTGATCTTGCCTGAACGGTCTTTTTCCTTCGAGCTAGCGAAAGAGCGTTTGCCGAACATTTTGACCGAAGAGAGAGATCGAAGTAGCGAGCGACGGAATTTCTCGTAAAGAGTGGACAGGTTAGTGTGACGCAGCGTTCATATGAGAGAAATGGGAGCTCCGGAAACTCTCAGATTTCGCAAACCTTTCGGGGGAGAAAAGTCGTTGAAAATCCGAAGAGCTTAGCGAGTTTACCAACACTGGTGGTGAAGATAAAGCACGCTTTGGTTGTCGAACTCAGGCTTGTCGTGAGGCGTAAAGATTCAAGTTGTGGGGTCGCAGCTTGTTAAATACCGACGATGCCAAGTCGGTGCCCCTGTAGCCTGGACAACTAGCGCTGGCAGGCTGGGGCTATGTTACATGCATACTCCTATCGCTATTCGCCCATTGCTGCATGCTGGGCTGCAGCAGATATCTATCAGGCTGCGAGGCGTCATTGTTTGCACCTCCTCATTTGATGCCCTTTGAAAACATGGAAGCCCGTGGAACATGGCAGGCCCTCTGAGGATTGACAGTAAGCGAGCCACGAATAGCACGCGATATGATGTGTTGGACCTAGCGATGTAGACTCGAGGCGCGAAAAAAAGCTAGCATGGACAGGGAGCTGGAGTTTGTAAGTAAAGCCGTTTTGGTCGGACCGTTTGTTGTGTGCGCGTCACGTCTCTATCGCGGTGTAACGTGACCTGGGGTTGCTGGGCGACCTCTGTGACTCACGAAGATAGTGGCTGCAATGAGTGACGAAATGTCCAGTCCTGCAATGCACCGCGCCCAAGTCTAGATTCAGGAAGATTTTGAAGGTCGGGGACAACATGCAGAAGTAGGCTCAGAGCTCCGAACTATAATACTGCGCTTATGCGCTATGCCTAGTGGTGAAGCGAGCAAATGCGTGGCCTACGTGTTCAGGGACTGTAGCTGCTGCTGCTAGATGCGTCGCGGTCCTTATCGTGGTCTTCGCCTTGCAGTCGGTCAGTAAGCCAGTCGTAAGCGTCTAGCAGCTGTCAAGTCCAAGGTGAAACACATTAGGCCGTCAAAGAGGTCAAAACCACGTGTTCTAGATGACTGTCGAGGATGTCCAGTCTCGGAGATATAGGTGTGGATTAAGGACATGGGAGTCTTGGTAAGATGTGGTGACGGGGATGCACCTTGATGTTCGGCACTCGCAAATGAGGCGCAAAGTAGCGATACTACCGTTCCCTGGTGATGGTATGACGTCGTTGTGTTTTCACACACTCGAGTGAAGTTCAGCAAGACGTGATGCGAACAATCGACAGATATGGAACGAACAACGTGTGAATTCTAGCGTGTCCCTGCTACCAGAACGTGTGAAGGCGATCGTCTTCCGGGCCGCGTGCGGAGCTTTGACTAAGGATCTAAGGTCCCTCGTCATCCATAGGCAACTTTCCCCACATCTACAACCCTCTTTTCACGTCCATCACCTGCCACTGCATCCCACTTACCTACCCGGAGAGTAAAGTTGTTGCATTCTATTCTTACTCGTCGCTCTGCCTGTACATTCACAGCGGGCGCCTGCTTCTGTCTGACTACTTCAACTACACCGCCTACCGCGTCGCCGTAGACAGTCTCAACCAAACTTGACAGAGCAACCACACCAACTAATCGCAACCATGAGCACCGGAGCGAAGAAGCGTATCATGAAGGCAAGCCAAATTGCCCTGGCGCAGAAGCAAGCGTACTAATAACAAGACGATAGGAGTACGGCGAGTGCATGGCTGACACACCGCCCGGTATGAAGATCAACTTTGACGAGCAGAACATGACCAAGTGGGAAGTGTTGATGGACGGCCCAGCCCAGTCGGCCTACGCGGTATGTTGGATTGTCTGAT